GATGGATAGACAGACAGATACAGATACAGATACAGACACACACACACACACACACACACACACACACACACACACACCCATATATAAACAGAGAGAAAGAGAGAGAGGTATCCGTACTAGAGATCAGCTGCAATACAACTGCAGATTCCCAGTAGTTCCTAAGGTTCAAGGCACAACATAACAAATATAAACCAGAAAACCCAAGCTTAAGTTGTATTTTACAGATTCATAAGTAATGTCCTTATACCAGTGCTCCCCAAAGTGGGATTTCTGGTCTATAATTTTCAAAATTCTTTAACTAGCATGGCCATTGCTAAGAATTCTGGGAATTTAAGTCCACACAGCTTAAGGAAGACAGGTCATTTACCATCTCTTTAAAAAAATAAAAACAGCTCCTACACTAAAGTGCCTTAAGTAGACTCAGAAAAAGTGCTTAGGAATAATTCACAGACCTTCTGGCACATAGAGAGGGCCTTTCTCTACACCTCTCCATTTCCTGACACTGGATCACTTTCCTCCTTCTCTGGCATCCTACACCACTAATTCTTGATAGTGTTAAAAAGCAAAGTAGGAGAATCCAGGCTGAGGGGTAGCCAGGAAGGGGAGAATACCCTAGCACACATCATCCTGTTTATTCCCTTACCCAGCTGTTTTCATCTGACACCAAAGCAGCAGGGCATCCTTTGCTGACTTTTTCTCCTTGTTATCCTCTGTCTCCACACTGATATCTTGGATCTATGATAAAAGATAGAAAAAGAACCTCAGTTAATCAGAGTCAAACATAATCAGTGTGACTGCATGTATCTTTGTTTTTTCTTTTAAAATAATAATTATTAAAACCTGCACCCTTCCAATAAAAATGCCACACCAAGCAAAAATAAAAAAAACATCCTAAAGCTTGCTTAACATATGCAAATCCAGAAAATTTGGCAGCAGTGATGTTGCTCGTGTGCTATTTTGCACAATTGATTATAAAGGGAGGGCAACAATGGTAAATCTCCTCCCTTGATATATAACTGCTTAAAAAGATTCTTCTGCCTCCTACATCATAGGGCTGGAAGGGATCTTAGAGGTCATCTAGTCCAACTACTTGCTAGGTGGCAGTCTCCCATAAGCTGACAACACATACTTCCTCCTGACAGCTGACCTGAACCTTCATCCTTGCAGTTTTAACTCATTGTAGTTTTGGTCCCGCCTTCTGGAGCAATAGAAATTAAATCCACTCCCTCTTCTGTGTAACAATCCTTCAGATATTTCAAAACTACTTTCCCTTAGTCATTTTTCCCATAGGCCAAACATACCCTGATAAATTAACTATTCTTCCATCATGAGAACTAGAAACCTGGTTTTGAAAGGAAAGCAGAGAGAGAATCTCTGTTTCAATCTTTTGGTTTCTATTCTTGCTGCAGTATGTCCATAGCTGCACTGCAGCCATAGGAGGGGAAAGCAGCGAAGAGGGGAAATGTTCTGGAAAACATACCTGGAAACGGAGGATGATTGTCCAGATGAGGCCCAGCGTGAGTCGGTGGTTGCCATCAACAATATCGTGGGAGCCCATGTTTTCCAAGTGGACACGCTGCTCCTTTAAGAACTGGAGGGCCTTGTCTACATTCTCCAGACAGTGTATCCGCATCCGGCCTTTGGTCGGCTTGGGCTGAGAAGAAAAAAAAGCGGGCTATAATTTCCCCTGAGCACAGGCAGAAAGTCTTCTGTATTCCACTGAGCTTGTTTTTACTCCTGGGAAAGTCTTTTCCAAGTCAAAAGTTCCTAGAGGGATAGCCATGCCAATCTGTTCTAGCAAAAATGAAGACTACTGTATTCCCACAACATGCTTAACAAGGCCAGTCAGCAGCTGCCTTTGCACAACACACTAATCACAGCTAGTATTACCCTGGCAAACCTAGTCCATTTGATCAATTTTCTGGTTCAATATATTGTGTGGATCCAGAAAACTGATCGGCCCTAATCTTGCAGCACCTGAAAGACTAATGATGGTATTACACTTCACTTTGTAAGATGCATGAAGCGTTATTTTATGAGGATTTTACAGACATAACTTCTTACAGTAAGAGACTAGCACCTAATCAGTTCTACTGTATCGTTGCTTATTGCTTTAATCATACTGCTGAAGTCAGAAATGGAAGCTGCCCAGCGTCAGTTGTGAGTAAAGTGGCATATAAGCCTCATAAAATTATAAATCAGTAAGTACAGGGAGGACTTCGGGCTATAACCCTTCACAAAAGAGGTGTGAGGCAGTACTTTGCATACTGATTAAGACATACAGGCCTCTTCACAGGACAAGCTTAACTGGGTCAAGGAGGGTTGGTGTATTGTGCAAACAATGCAAGCAAAGCAGTCAACTGGATCATTTTAGCTCCAAAGGGGCTTCTCTTTTAACATTCTGTCTCTGTGCATTTTGCTTCCCTTCCTGCTGTTAAACAGAGGGGGGAAATGAGAAGAAGGGGCCATGGTTTGGCAAGCCCCTGACTTTATTTACTGATGCCTATCCTAACCAGGCCACCTTAGATGTTTGTTTCTTTTCTTCTTTTGGAGGAGATTTTTCTTTCTCCCCTACACACGGGGAAGTGCCTGACTCCACTGGCCCTCCTGTTTGACCCATTGCCTACTTCCACATACAGCCTTGCAATCCAGTCCAGCCAACCGGGTTGCACCCGCCAGGAAGCCGGTTTAACTGGCAGCCAAACTGCCTTCCTACTGTACAGCCCAGACGGAGCTGCCGGAAGAATTTGGCTTGCCAGTCCCTGAGGTTTAAAAACCCTGAGGGAGGGGTGGATAAGACAACTCCTCCCAGCAGAAGAATTCCTTCCCCACTTGCAAACCAAAGGCACGGTTGAATGGAATGGAGCAGGAGGTGGATGGAAAGTTGGCAGTCCCCAAGCAAGTATGGGGAGTTGGGAAGAGACATGTGGGCTTGGTCTCTGAAGACTGCAGAAAGAGGTTCCACAACGTTCCATGAATGTGGTTGCAACATCTTGGTTTGCTAAACAGAGAAGACAGTAATCACCCACTGGTCCTCTCCTCAATTGCTCTGATCTTCTCCTTTCTGCATGGCCTCCAACAGAATCAAGTGGGAACGGCAACCACTGCTCAGCTCTGGGCTTCTTAACTCACTTTTGGGTGCTTCCAGTACAAGCACCCCCAACAGAAAAATCCTGTTTGGCTATCCCAGCCTTTAGAAATGCATTGCCAGTCAACACTCGCCAGGTGGAAAAACTGTTACTAATTCTTTAAAAAACAGTCAACACCTCACAGGATTGCCACAGCTTGCAAGAATTCAACATTCTCCTATGAACTCAATGACATTTTATTTCCAGCCATTAAATCATCATCATCATCATCATCATCACCATCATCATCATCATCATACATTTAAG